GGGAACTTGGACGTTTTCTTACCATAATTTTTGGACTGTATTTTTTAGGAACAGTTTGTGGGACAAAAATTGTTTAGATACTTAAATGTATTTCCCGCAAGGGTTTGCAGTGCAAGATCATTTTGATGCTGCAGATTTCAATTCCTAAAAAGAAAAAATATTTTGGCTTTGCATTTTTGTTACTGTTACTGAAACATGAGGGCTGCACAGAAAGTAATGTTTTTTTATTAACCTACATATGTTGTTCAAATTTCAAATGTTGGTACAGCAATTTTTGCTCTACAGTAACTCTTTTCCTTCTTTTTAATTGCAGGTCAATAATGGATTCCAAGCAGAAGAAATGCGTTGTCAATGAGTTCTTGACGAAAAAAGGGCAGAGGCTGCCTGACATCCACAGAAGGCTACAGAATGTTTACAAAGATGACACCATTGGCAAGAGCCACCAATGATAAGAGATTGCTTTTGTCAATGGTGCCATCTCTGTAAACATTCTGTAACCTGTGGTTGTTGGACAGCCTGAACCCCTCCTTTGTGAAGAACTCAATTTTCCTGCAATGAAAAACAAGAAGAGTTAATACCTTCTAACATCCACAGAAGGCTACAGAATGCTTACAAAGAAGACACCATTGACAAAAGCAATGTCTTGCCATTGGTGACTCTTGTTGTGTTATCTTTGTAAACATTCTGTAGCTTTCTGTGGACGCTGGACAGCACACACCCCTCCTTCCTCAAGAACTCAATGACAGCACATTGCTTCTGCTTGGAATCCATTAATTACTTGCAATGAAAAAGAAGAAAAAGAATGAAAAAGAAAAAGAGGAGTTACTATATTACATTCGGTATAGCTGTCGTATCATAATAGAAATCTTTTTCTAAGGATGATAACATTCTACAATACTATGTTATTGTTTTTTAGAGGAAATTTGTGTGGAAACACTGCTAGTGTGGCAGCAGTGCTTTCAGTACACCTGCACAGTTCTAACTCCACAACAGAATGTAGGCTGATGTTCTTTCACCGTGGAGTATCATGCTAAAGAATGTCAATCTACAGATTGCGATCATGAATAGGATTTTTAACAAATCAGTGAATTATCTAATTGAACATATCTCAGCCATGAAAGACAGTGGTGGCCCAATCATGAGTCCACAGGTATAAGACTAAATAAATGGGCACCTAAGTCTACAAAGGAACGTTTGGTGTGGTCTATGTTCAGCCTCCAATTCTCTTCAATCTTTACAAAGGTGCCGGGCCAGAAATAATAAAAAAAAAATAATATTGTTTTTGAATTGATATTGTTCTCACTAAATCATATCTGGTTTTTAAATATATCATGGTTATATGGCACCTTGTGTATGAAAGGCAAGGGAAAGGAAGTGTACTGTTGTGGCTCACATCAGCCAATTAGTCTGAAATCTTGTTCTGGACAACAGCTCCATTTTTACGTCCACTTTTTATTGGTGAAATCGTTTGCATGCCATTGGGTGGTGGATAGAACAATAATCATAATGCGTTATTGATGTTCATTCACATAATAGCTGAACATACTTTTGACAGAAAGCTCAACCTTTGTCCTTCTGGTACAAGTTACAAGACAAGCGGGCAGATCCTGCAGTGAGCATCAGTGCAGCTCAATCTCATTTTCTGCTCCTTAAAGAAATTATCTGCAAATAACTAACAAGCCGCTCTTGGTTTCGTCAAACTGACAACTAACAAAATTGCAGATGGCTGTGAGCTGCTTGTCAGACTCCTAGAGACCTCACACGTCTAAGTAAGATTTCAACTCCCACAGAATGTGCTATACACCAGAAGAGCATTGAGCTGTCCTCCTGAATATGTAGAAATCCATTTAAAACCAAATCATCCAAACTGACACCATGACCACAGTGATGTATCTCTAAAAAAAGCCACAAATTAAGCATGTTTAGATTTTTAAAGTGCACCTACCACCGAAACAAAAATGTAAACCTCTGGCTAATTTAAAGTGGAACTTCACTCCCTCTTGACTACTTTGACTCTTTATGCTGCTAGCATTAGTAAACAGATAGGAAAGTATATTATGTTTAGTTGTTTTAAACAGTTTTTTTTTTTTTTTTTTAGCTACTTCCTAGTTTCCATGCCTAGGCAAATGATATCATACATCGCTGGAGTCTACAGGAGGAGAGGAGGCATTTACTCAGTTAAGTACACCCTCTTGCTGTTATGCCTCAGCTAAGGGTAGATGGATGGCAGAAAGTATTAGCAACATGAATCGCCTGCCCTTACTCAAGATGGCTACAGTCAGAAATGCTAGAGGGGTGCTTTTCTAAGTGATTTCTCAGCAAAGTAAAGCATTGAGACATGGATGGGTGAGTTTGAATATTAAAAATTATTTAAATAGCACTTTTGGTTTGTGATGCTCAGATACAGTGTAGTTCCGCTTTAACCCCTTGACGCTGACGTCACACAAATATGTGGCCTCACGGAACTGGGCTTTTTTTTCCGTGGGGCCGCATATTTGCGTACCTGTCTTGTGCTGGGAGCGCGCCGCTTGACACGCTCCCAGCACAGAGACCGCGGTGTGACTGAGAGCCCCGGGTCCCATTCTAACGATCGGGACCCGAGACTCCCGATTCCGGGTCACATGATCGCTGTGATAGCCTCTGATTGGCTATCACAGTGATCAGTCACTGTACAGCCTGGCCCCCTTGCTTTTTTCTCTCTCTATGAATGGAGAAGAGAGATATATTGTATCTCTCTAACTCCTGGCATAGAGAGAAAAAAAATGTTTGTAAAAAAAAAAAAAAAAAAAAAGATAAATAAAAAAATTTATATTAAAAAATAAAAGAAAAAATACCTAGATCAAGGTTTGATCTAGTTCAGTGCCAGGGCTAGTGTTTGGGTCAAGGTCAGGGTCAACGGTCAGGGTCAAAGGTCAGGATTTAAAAAAAAATTGGTGTCAGTTAGTGTTAATATCAGTGTGTTTTAGGTAAAAAAAAAAAAAGACAAAAACAAAAATGCACACTATTGTTTCTGGGCTGTACTATGGGTACAAACAACAAATAACATACACATATATGGTATCACTGTGATCGTCAAGAGCTGGAGAATTTATTTTGGGTTGTTTTTTGGTGGTAGGTTATGGTCGTAACAAGAAACACACAGCTAAATAAAAAAAATGATTTTTTTTTTACTATTTTGGGCCAGGTTTCCTTTGATAATAAAAAAAAACAATCAGGAGCTATCCATTACCATGTACCACCAAATGAAAGCCCAATTTGTCCTGAAAAAAGTCAAGGTATAATCCATCTGGATGTAAAAAGTAGTTGTGATGATATGTACGGTTTTACTATCACATGTCAACGTTGCAGAATTGTGCTCAGGCATTTAGATTTGTTTTACCCTTAGGAGTGAAGGGGTTAATTATGCACTTTGGGGAAAAGAAACAAACACCCTTGCAGTGGGGCTCTCTCACACTACAAAAGATGAAAGCTTTCTCTTGCCTAGGACACCAAGAAAATGACTTTTATTTACATAACCCCTTGCTCCAGCAGGCTGCTCCTTCCATGTGACAGGCTCCATGCAGCCTCTTTCCCAAGGCGCCCTGACTAACAGTTGCAGCTCTGATGTCATCAACTACAATGCAGGACAATTAGTGTTACCTTGTAAATAAGGTCCCTCCCACAGCCCAGATCATTGGAAAGTCCTATTTCTTGATATCCCAGAAAAAAATTAGTATTTAACACATGCAGTGCTGAGGGAGCCCCACTGCAAGTAATTTTTTCTTTCCCCTGCAGTCCAGTTTTAAAGTGGTTGTAAATATCAGAAATGAAATATGAACAAAACATATCCCTCTATAGGGTGTACTTCTGTCTGCTGCTTTGTTCCTCTGCTATCAACATGAATCAATTCTGGCAAGTTTTCCTGATAACAAGAGAAAAATGGTGATGGGGGAGGGACCTCCAGCAGATTACCAGCCTCAGTTATGTTCCTGAGAGCTGTGTGCAGTGTCCCTTTAGTCCCTCCAATCAGCTCTCAAAGCTCTCCTCACCAAGCTCTGCAGAGTGTAATTTCAGCTCCCTGCCCCATTTTTTCTGAACTCTCAAATAAGCTTTTAAAAACTGGACTCTGAGCGGATTTAGAGAAGAGAAGTGTAGATATAGACAGGTACAATTTATGTAGGAGGATTTGTTTCATCTCACCTTACAACCACTTTAAATATACCAGCCAATACCTGCAGTTAATAACTATGTCACATGTAATGTCCCATATAATATAGGGTAAGCATTTTAAGGGCTGTCACATTTTAAAATGACATAAGGGCTACAGAGAGGGATTCCTGCTCTCTGCTGAATGGGGGTTAAAATAGATGTAAATCCTATCTAGATTTAGTTTGCTAAAGCACAGTGGGGGTTATTTACTAAAACTGCAAGGTGGAAAACCTGGTGTAGCTCTGCATAGAAACCAATCAGCTTCCAGATTTTATTGTCAAAGCTTAACTGAAGAAGCTAAAGTTAGAAGCTGATTGCCTACCATGCACCGCTGCACCAGATTCTGAGTGATCCAGTTTTAATAAATCTCCCCCATTGTGTAATATAGAACTGTTGTGTTTTCTCTTACAGCTTTCCCTTTATTCATCCCATTTTGCATTTCAGTGCTAAAGATATCCTCCAGCTTCTTTGCAGCAACTTTACAGTATAAATCTACATACACGCTTTCCAGTATTGCAGCTGAATATCATTGCTCAGGGCAGGGTTCCTGACAACAGTGGAACATGTCTTTAAAAACAACATCAGCGCAACCACTTAAAACCTACACTGGATGCACATAAGGTAGGGTGACAACATTAGACTGCAATCTGGATATGGGGCAGAGGGTTGTCACTTTTATAACAGGAAAGGTCTGAAAAAGGACTTTAACACCGTGGGGGGCGCACAGTGCGGCGATCGGTGGTGTGCTGTGTCCATCGGACACAGCGGATCTCCGATCAACGGAAAGACCCGAAGATGTCAGCTCAGTCATGTGATCAGCTGTGTCCAATCACAGCTGATTGCATGTAAATAAGGAAATGCCGGTTATCTGCATTTCTCGCCTCACAAGCTGTCACACTGACAGCTCATGAGGAGAGGAGAGCCAGTAATTGGGATTCCTCAGAGGGAACATTTACACTGATCATCAGGGCACTGATGATCAGTGTGCCTTGATGATCAGTGTAGCCCCAGCAGTGCCACCTGTCAGTGTCCATCAATGCCAGCTGTCAGTGCTCATCAATGCCACCTGCCAGTGCCCATCAGTGCCACATCAATGCCACATATCAGTGCCTACCAGTGCACATCAATGCCGCATATCAGTGCCTACCAGTGCACATCAATGCCACATATCAGTGCCCATCTGAGCTGCCTTTCAGATCCACCTTTCAGTGCCAGTCAGTGCCACCTATCAGTACTGCCAATCAGTGCCACCTATCAGTGCCAGTCAGTGCCGCCTATCAGTGCCAATCAGTGCGTATCAGTGCCACCTATCAGTGCCTGTCAGTGCTGCCTATCAGAACCGCCTATCAGTGCCAATCAGTGCGTACCAGTGCCACATATCAGTGCCAGTCAGTGCCACCTATCAGTGTCAGTCAGTGCCGCCTATCAGTGCCACCTATCAGTGCCGCCTATCAGTGCCATATATGAGTGCTGCCTTTCAGTGCCCATCAGTGATGCCTGTAAATGCCCATCAGTGCCACCTACCAGTGCCTCCTCATCAGTGCCTATCAGTGCCACCTATCAGTATCCATCAGTGCAGCATATCAGTGCCAATCACTGCAGCCTCATTAGCGCACATCAGTGAAGGAGAAAAATCACTTATTTACAAAATTTTATAACAAAAACTATGAAAAAAAATTTTTTGTCAAAATTGTCAGTGTTTTTTTTTTTTTATAGAGCAAAAAATAAAAATGCACAGGTGATCAAATACCACTGAAAGAAAGCTCTATTCGTGGGAAAAAAGGATGGAAATTTAATTTGGGTGCAGCGTTGCATGACCACACAATTGTCAGTTAAAGCAATGCAGCGCCATAACGCAAAAAATGGACTGGTCAGGAAGGGGGGTAAATCCTCTGGAGGGCAAATGGTTAAAGTAAAAAAACTATTAGACTTTAGAACCACTTTAGGTTCTAAAATGACCATTGCTATTTTTTCTGGTGCCATCCAGCAACCCAAGAGCCACATGCTGTCCTTTGGTATATGATGTGTTGTCCTCAGACCTCAGCAACAGGAACGTTGATTAGAATAGTAGCACTGATCTCTATTAGCCTCATGTAATATGTTCTCAGTTTCATATTGTCCACTGCAGCATACACCCAGAAAAAAAAAAGTCCACACTCTCTGACCCTCATTTCCTCCATCAGGTCTGCAGTTTCTGACAGTCTTCTCAAGCATTAAATATATTGAGCATTATGCGTGGCCCTTTGGTGATGTCAGGGGCCACATTTGAGTCCCCCTTTAGCCCAGAAGTTGACAAGAGCTGATATCAAGTGCAGATTAAAGTTAAGTTGAGTGGACTTTCAGAAAACAATGTCTATGTAATACTTCCTGGACAGGATTACTATTCACTAACTGCTTTTAATAGCTGCCCAGAGCTGCCCTTTAAATCCAGACAGAATACATACCAATAGTAAATGTCCAAGGTTAAAGTGCTCACTAACAAGTCACTGCCCTGTGTTGATATATTTCAGCATTCAACCTTTATAAGCGTTACATGTATTCTTGATAAAGTATTTTGTATCAGGTTATTATCCAACATCATGTAACAGGGAGATTTAGCGGGACAGAATATGACAAATACTCAAAAGGAAATGCATTAGCGGATTTATGTAGAAGTCAAGCTTGCCACTTATTATTTAATAGCTGTGGCCAAATATCCAGGGACACAATTAGCATAGACGATAAGCCCATTTACTGCACTATAGCCAAGTAATCTCTTTATGGAAATACCCCAAGCCCCTTAAATGACAGCCACTTTCATGTCAGCCGCAGTGAAAGACAAAACTGTGGTGCCAAACATCTGGTAATGTATATATTAGGGTTGATGATAAAATATTAAAAGCACTAGAATCCCCTCCAAAGTAAGCTTCTCAAGTTCCCATCTGGCTCCGTGGAAAGTGCAAAGTTTTTGAAGTGAAACCGAAAATTGAACCCTAGGATTTTAGCAGAATTCCTACTGGAAGAATGTATCAGGCGTTTCAACATTTTGACAAACGAATTTGTAAAGAAAAAAAAAAACATAGACCCTGAAGATTTAAAAATAACACATTAGATGACCACTACAGAGAAAAAGATTATATTCTAATAACAAGTTGGTAACTCTAACAGTGTTCTGTATATGAATTCCTTTTATGTAAATTTCACCATTAAAATAAAACATAACAAATGTACAAGTGCTCGCAACAGTCATTCATATAGTTTAACCACTTCAAGTCCGGACACTTTCACCCCCTTCCTGTCCAGGCCAATTTTCAGCTTTAAGTGCTATCACACTTTGAATGACAATTGCGCGGTCATGAAACACTGTACCCATATGAAATTTTTAGCATTTCTTTGAGACAGATAAAACTTTATTTTGCTGGTATTTATTCACCTCTGGGATTTTTTTTTTTTTGCTATATATATGAAAAAGTCCAAACATTTTGAAACAAAAGTGTTTTTCTTACAAAATTTTGCAAATAAATAATCTTTCTTCATAAATCTTGGCCAAAATGGATTCAGCTATCTTTTTAGTAAAAAAAAAAAAAAACAATTTAGTTTATAACCAAAAATGATAAATTTTCAAAAAAAGTTTTACATTTTTATTTTATTTTTTTTATATTATTATTTATTTTTTTGTTTTAACATACTGTCACCCTAGCAGTACAGAGTCACCATAGCTGGGTTTGTTCACGGTTTATGTAAAGCAAAACTGATAAAAACAATAGGAAAAGACAGGCTCTTTATTGCAATGTCTCTGTTGCAATGTCTCTCCTTCAATAAAATACAATTAAAGCAAGTTTTATTCGAATGCGTAGTATAAAATAGTTCCAGAATACAAGCAATACTAACACTTTTCAGTCAAACAAGACTTTACCCATAGTTAGCCACTTGTAGTGCAGCACATCATTATATAGTGGTCTATCACTCCCTAAAGGGCCAATTATGAAGAATGACTATCAGCTGTTATATCTAATACAAAAGTATGAGTGATCACCATTGCCTAATGCATGTGCTCAGTAAAAACAACCTACATATCTATTATATATAGAACTACGGTATCCAAAATGAAAATCAGAAAAAAAAAAATATATATATATAATCAAATAAGTCACTCGTGTCCAAAAGTAAAAGTCATTCCAATCTCTGATTCCAATATGGAAAATCTTCAGATCTTTAATAACGAGCCCTCCTATTGGCTCCCAAAGGAAATGTGAACCTCAAAAAAAAGGGAAACTCATATATTGCATTAACTTTATAAAATACAAAAAAAATATCAATAAAAGACAATATGCACTGTGCAACTTCAAAAATCAAATATGATCTTAAAAGTGAAAAGTGAACACAGTGTAGCAACCGTGATTGTGCGTCACTCTGTGAATACAAATCCAAGTGACCATTCAGTGTAAACTTCTAGAGTGTTAGGAATAAACACCCTTACCAAAAACAACTAAAAAAACATGCCTTAATATCGCTGGGGGAGTATGCACCACGCTTCAACGAAATCCTTCCAAGCCTGAATAACACTCTTTATGATGTCCTCAACAACCTTCTCCTAGATGTCATCATGGCTTTTTTGGAAGTACTCCATAGTACTCATAGTACCCATGCTCCAACAGATATGTGAATGGTATTTGAAAAGGATATAGTGTAATTCCGTATGGGATTATAAAGACATACTTTAATATATGCTCACATTAAAACAATATCATATTCGCCTTATTCCCATGCCATCAAACCTCTAGGGTCGCCGAGCAGCCTCCTGGAGTGTTTGGCGTGTGTTTTCCAGTGTCCAAGATGGCCGATCCACTACACACTTTCTTGACGGTTCCCTCTCTGTGCATCCTACGACACTGCCCCTTGGAAAGGGAAAGCTGGCCATATCTTCCTTTTCCATAAAACCAGCTCCTTCCTATCTTTACCAGAATGCAGTGCTCCTAGGTGTCAACAAGAATGTTTTCCCCAATGGCACATTCAAAATCATGTGGCTCAATTCTTAGATGTGATGGCTGCTTGAGTTTCTTTTTTAGGCTTTCTTCTATTTTCACCTGGTGATCCTGCCAGTATGTCTGATCTTTTTCAACAGAACACGCTATCCTGAAGCTGTAGCATTTAGGGGGTTGAGGCAAACCATTTACCAGTGACCCCTGTATAAACAATATAAATTAAAGATAATAGTGTGGCAAGAAAGAAGATGATACTCAGGACAATGAATCTCAACCTAGATGCATATCCAAATCCCATCTGAGTGTCAGGGACATGTTGGCCATGGCATAGCTGAGGCTCGTAGCCGCACACGAACGTACAGGCGCGGGCTTGCAGGTGCTCATACTGTTGTGCGTGGCCGTGCGCATATGCGCTCACATATGCGCATGTGTGGGCGCACACGCACGGAAATGTGCATTGGTTAATTCTGGCACCCACTGGCCTATAAAGGTGCAGCAGTTGCACTTGTGAATTGCTGTCTGAGCTGCAGCTCCCCCTCCTGTATTCCTGTGCCTGTTCCTGTGATTGACCCCAGCTTGTTTCTTGGATTCCGCCTCTGCCTTCTGACTCTGCTTGATCTGCTCCCACCATCACTGACCCTGGCTTGTGACCTGACCATTCTTCTAAAACAGCACCAACAGAGACTGCTAATGCACCCAGAATGGTGATGTGGCCTCCTGAACCCATGGTTCCCACACCAGAAAGGTTCTCAAGGGATCAAAGGAAATTCAGAGCGTTTCATAACGTATGTCAGTTATACTTCTCCCTGCAGCCATAAACTTTTTGTTTGGAATCCACGAAAGTAGGGTTTATCATCTCTTTACTCTAGGGCGAGCCTCAGACTTGGGAAAAGAATGCACAGCTTCACACTATGTCATCATTCTTTGAGGCAATGGATCAGTTGTATGATGATCCTCAATGAACTTCTACTGCAGAAACTGCACTTAATGCGCTCCGGCAAGGCCACAGAGCAGCTGAGGACTATGTTACGGACTTCAGACGCTGGAGCACAGATACTCTTTGGAACAATGCAGCCCTGCAATTCCAATTCCGTCTCGGCCTCTTAGAAGCCTTAAAAGAGGAGTTAGCCAGAGTTGGAGTATCTGATACATTGGAGGCCCTGATCTCACTAACTATCCAGATTGACCGTCGGCTCCGTGAGCGCAGACTGGAACAAACTACTATGATGTCTAAAGCTCCAACTTCTACCCATTCTGTTCCAGTGGTTCCTAAGGCTTCCACATTTAAAATACCAGAAGCAACGCAGCTGGGAATGATACGTCCCGCTCTGTCATATGAAGAACGTCTTTGTCGCTGACAACATAATCTCTGCATATACTGTGGGAAGCCTGGCCA